TTTCTGCTTATGTGGTGCTGAGGAATCGAACCCAGGGCCTCATGCATGCAAGGCAAGCGCTCTACCACTGAGCCACCTTCCCAGCCCTCTTGTACAAGTAATGCCATGCCCAAAGAACATTTAATCCTCTGCCTTGGCAAAAAGAGAATTCAGAAATATGTATCAGTAACACTGCTAAGTAGTTTAGTGTTTAAAAATCTATCAACCTTTCTGATATTTAGAGACTTGAAAAAGCAGAGAAAGCACTAATATCATTTCTAGTTGTTCTTTATACTAAATTATCTAATCTTATTTACTTGAATATGAACTCTGGAATGATATTCTCTTTTATACATTTCCATTTCAAACATTTGTATTTATGGAGCTATCCTCAATATTTACCCACTCTTTGGTCCCTGGCACTAAATGGATTTACTTACTTCCCACTGACTTTCTTTTCAGCCATGAGATTTATTGTGGCCACAAGAATGAAGCAAAAGTAAGTGCCTGTGTTTCAAGCCTAGGCTTTAAGAAGTCATGTGTTAACAAGGTGCAGGTGGCTCATGCTAACCCTGGTTACTCAGGAGGCTGAGATCTAAGGATTTCAAAGGTCCAAGCAGTCTGGGCAGGAAAGTCCATAAGACTCTGTACCCAATTAACTAACAAAAATCCTGAACTTAAAAAGTGACTCAAGTGGTAGAATATGAGTATGAAGCCCCAAGTTTAAGCACCAATATCACACACACAGATACAGATACACAAACACACACACACACACACACACATACACACACACACAGAGAGTCATGTTTTCTCACTTCTCAAAAACTTTAGCAACAAGAACATGCCTCAGTAGGCCCCACGGATCCAATGAGGAAGAGAGAACAAGGAACAAATCCTACATCAGCCAGCTTCCGAACATGAGAATAAATGCTTTATGACTTAATGTATTGGTAAGCTATGCTATGTCCACAATCAATAAAAGGCCTTCCCTTCCTTCATATGGTTAACAAGTATTTCTTTCATCTTGAGATTTTTGCCTGTATTTTGCCTATTTTGACCCTATTTTTCTACCTATATTTGCCTATTTTGACCCTAGATTCATTTACTCATCTTCCACTATGACAATATAAAAATGTATGCTCTAGACAAACATTAGTGTGATATTTTTTGTGTATGTGAACCAGTACTGAGTTATGAACTCAGGGCTTGGGCACTGTCTCCTAGATTTTTCCCCTCAAGGCTGGTGCTCCACCACGTGAACCAAATCTCAACTTCTGGATTTTATGATTTTGATAACAATTCTCATGGATTTTTCTGTCCAGGTTAGCTTTGAACCAATGATCCTAGGACCTCAACCTCTTGAGTAGTTAGGATAACAGGTGTGAGTGACTGGTTCCTAGATCATTAGTGTCATTTTGTTCTTGGAATAACTTGGCTTTCTACCAGCATTTCTGATTTTTTTTTTTTTTTGTCAGTTGTGGGGATTGAACTCTGGGCCTGGGCACTGTGCCGGAGCTCTTCAGCTCAAGGTGAGCACGCTACCATTTGAGCCACAGCGTCACTTTTGGTTTTCTGGTAGTTAACTGGCGATAAGAATCTCTGGAACTTTCCTGCCTGGGATGGCTTTGAACCGTGATCCTCAGATCTCAGCCCCTTGAGTAGCTAGGATTACAGCCATGAGCCACTGGCACCCAGCTTGATTTGTTTTTTTTAGCCAATGAACCAAGTGACACAACCTAATCACCAATACAACACAGTAAGTCATAAAGCTTGACTGATTATTCTCTTTCTTATGTCTCAAAAACTGTCAAAAGTTCTATGCACTAAATCCTGTTTTGAAGAGTATACGTTGAGACATCCCTAATCCAAAAATTGAAAATTTGGAATGTTCCAAAATCCAAAAATTCCTGTGCTGAAATAATGCCACAAGTGGAAAATTCCACACCTTATACCAAATAAAAAGAAAGCAAACTGAAAATATTATATAAATCTATATGCGGGGCTGGGAAGGTGGCTCAGTGGTAGAGCACTTGCCTTTCATGCATGAGGCCCAGGGTCGATTCCTCAGCACCACATAAGCAGAAAAAAAAAAAAAAGCTGGAAGTGGCGCTGTGGCTCAAGTGGTAGTACGCTAGCCTTGAGCTGAAGAGCTGAGGGACAGCGCCCAGGCCTAGAGTTCAGGCCCCACGACCGGACCCTCTCCCATTCTCCCCCCCAAAAAAAATCTATATGCACATGGTATATATAAAACATCAATGATTTTTTGTTTAGACTTGTACCTGGCTCATCCCCAACATATCTCATTATATATACAAATATTTTAAAATCTAAAAGCAAAAAATAAAAATCCATCCCATGGGGAAAAAGGAACCCTATGGCACTGCTGGTGAGAATGTAAACTAGTACAACCACTCAGGACAGCATTCTGGAGGATCTTCAGAAGACTAAACACAAATCTTCCCTATCACCCAGCCATATAACCCCTGGGCGTCTACCTAGAACATCACAAGCCAGAATACCATAAAGACACTTGCACATCCATGCTGCACTATTCACAATAGTCAAGTTGTAGCAACAGCCCAGATAGCCTATAATAGATAAGTGGATCCAAAGTAATGTGCTACCTATACACAACTGAATTTCACACAGGCGTTAGAAAGAATAATGTCATTTGCAGGATGGATCTAGAACAAATCATGTTAAGTAAGGTAAGCCATGCTCAGAGAGACAGACAGCACATGTTTTCTCTCTTGCAGACACTAGATCTAATATACAACAGAATATGGTAAATTCTACTCTAGACATTCACACATAGTGAGACCAAAGGATACCCTTAGGAGAGGAACACAAAGATGCAATGCCTATGTGCATTGGATCATATAAAATAGTATTTATCAAAATAACTCCAGGACATGAAAACAGAGGGTTTTTTTCCTTTTTTCTTTCTTTTTATCTTGTTTCTTCATTTATCAGTCTTTGGGAAGGTAAGGAGTGGGTGGCACAGAAATGGAGGGAAGAAGGGTGAACAAATGCAGCAGTGGCACTCATTAAACACTATGTTGAAAATCACCTCTACAATTTGCAGGTAGGAATGAGAGGGAAAAACTGGGAGAGTAAGGGAAGGGGTGACATTGTTTAAAAAAGAAGTGTACTCATTACCTGATTTATGAAACTGGATCCCTTCTGTACATCACCTTTATATTAACAAAAAAATCCAGCCCAAATCTGAAACACATCTGGCCCCAAACATTTTACATAATGGATGATAAATCATAATAGTAAAATGTTGGTAATCTTTGAGTCAGTAGCTATCTCTTCTTGACTTAGATACTTTTTCACTCAGAGAGGTCTTAGGTAAAGTGTCCATCCAAACTCTAACAAGTGGGCTGGGAAGGTGGCTCAGTGGTAATGCCTTACATGCATGAAGCCCTGGGTTGGGTTCCTCAGCACCACATAAGCAGAAAAAGCCGGAAGTAGCACTGTGGCTCAAGTGGTAGAGCACTAGCCTTGAGCTGGAGAGCTGAGGGACAGTGCCCAGGCCCAGAGTTCAAGTCCCACGACTGGCAAAAAAAAACCCAAACCAACCCTCTAAAAAGTGTAGTTGTGTGATATGTTTTTGTAAAATGAGCTACTAGATACATAGTACAAAGCAATCTTGTTACCCTACTGCCTAGGCAACATTTCAATAGCATCATCAAGAACATCTGCTACTTTTTGAAAAGCTTTTAACAAGGAAAGTCAGGTTTCAAGCTTTATTTTTTAATAACTGTAAGGTTCAATGACTATGTGGGTAAAATGAATAACAGGAGACTAATGGTACATGGGCACCATCAAGGAAATATGAAGGTTATTATAAATCCGGAAGAAATAAAACTATACTAAGAGAAAAAAATGTTTTATCAAATAAAATTTTACCCCCACAAATTATTTACCATTTGATAATAAATAAGCAATAATTACATTAATTTATGTTTTATTTGGTCAAAGCAATAATTCTGCTTGTATACACTTATGCTTGTTGCTAATGTAGTATATTTTATAGGCCATGAGAAAAATTAGAAAGTTACAACTTTGTTACATACCTGATCCAATTTAGGTCTTTTCAGTTTCTGCAGCGTTTTATCTGAGGTTAAAACTTTTGAACTGCTATGAGCTTCAAAATATTCTTCCACTAAGTCACTCTGAAAGTAGACAGAAGAGTAAAGTCAGCTCTAAAGAATCTCAAATAAGCTGAGCTCTGGTGGTTCACACCTGTAATCCTGGCTACTCAGGAGGATGAGATCTGAGGATCGCAGTTCAAAGCCAGCCCAGGAAGAAAAGGCCCAAAAGACTTTTGTCTCCAATTAAGCACTCAAAAACCAGAAGTGGAGTTGTGGCTCAAGTGGTAAAACACTAGCCTTGAGCACAAAGAGGCTTAGGGACAGTGACCATGCCCTGAATTCAAACCTAACAACTGACAAAAAGAAAGTCTCTCAAGGGACTGGGAATGTGGCTTTGTGGTAGAGTGCTTGCATAGAATGCCTGAGGCCCTGTATTTGAATCCTTGGTACCACATATAAAGTAAAAAAATTGAAAAAAGTCTCTCAAATATTTGTAATCCACCAAAATTAGACAGTGAGCTGGGCTCTGGTGACTCATACCTATAATCCAAATTACTCGGAGGTCTGATGATCATGGCTTTATGCCAACTCAAGCAGGAAAGTTAATGAGATTCTGATAATATTGGACATATACAATTAATCAACAAAAAGCTGGAAGCAGAACTATGGCTCAAATGGTAGAATGCCAGCTTTGTACAGAAAAACTAAGGGACAACACCTAGGTCCTGAGTTCAAGCCCAAGCCCTAGTACTGACACACACGCATGCACATGCACACACACATACACGATTGCGCACATATACTTTAGATACTGATATCAGTATAGAAGAGCATATGTCAAATTCTTTGCTGTTGAGTTGGAGATTGTGTTTCAGTAGGTTGCACATGCTAGTCTCAAACTTGTGAGTTCAAGTGTCACTCTTTTTTTGTGTGTGTCAGTCATGGGGCTTGAATGTAGCATATATGCTGCTAAAGCTGTTCCAAAGCTTTATAGAAAGCACCAGGATAATTAGCCAGGCTACCTGCAATATTTTTTCAAACAATTCAACAAGGATCAGTAGTCATATCATGTATTAGTTACACTGACCCAAACATATCAACAAAGTCACAAAAACAAAATTGTACAAAACCAGATAGGCTGAGAAGTCTTGCCATCAATTATTCAACTAATATTTAAAAGTTCATTGTTGTACAACTGAATTGGATTATCACGTTTAGTATATATTACGGCACTGATTAATGAATATGGAAATAGATGAGGACAAAAAGAGCTCAAAGAGAAACAAACATGGGAATTTATAAGTAAGGATAAGAAAATCTAGAAAAGTGAAGAAAAAGACTATGTTGATCCATTTTGTAGCTTATTTTTAGCATAGCCTATACTACAGATATTATTAAAATCACTCTCATCTATGTGTATCTGATCATACAAAATAGTATGTATTGAAATGACCTCCAGGAAATGGAAACAAGAGGTTTATTTTCTTGTTGTTTTAATTTTCTTTTCTTTTTGTCTTGTTTGTACATTTATATGTCTTTGGGAGTGTAAGGAGAGGCACAGAAATGGAGGCAAAGGATAAACAAATCACTAGATACTATGTTGAAAATGAACTAGACAATTGATAGGTAGGAATTGGAGGGGAAAACAGAGACAGTGACAGGGAAAAAGTGACAATGTCCAAAAAGAATGTACTCTTTACCTGCCTTATCTAACTATAACATTACCGTTATAATAATAACAAAAAACAATACAAACAAAAAAACAATAAATCACTCTTTTGCTTACTGTTTTATCTCTCTTCATTTTCTTAGGAGGTGTTCCTTTGCAAACAGTTTCTGAAACTACTCTAGTCTGAGCTTGAAGCTTTTGGCAGAACATGACCGAATTAGTGTCTTCACATTCCTTTGCAACGCCTTCACCGTCCTCCGAGTTGGAAGCAGAATAGTCACTTTCACTGTCAGAATTAGATTTTGACACTGTGGAAGAGAAAAGCAACTGGGAGATTTGACGGTTTGACAAAAGAGTCATAATGGAGTAACAAAGAGTGTGGGCTTAGAAGTAAGTCTTTTAATTCTAGTTTTGTCATTGTTTGCTTAGAGCTACTTACACAAATTCTCTGACCACCAGTTTCTTCATCTTATTAAATGAGGCTAGTTGGATCTAATTTAATAAGCCCTTGGGAAGATTACATATATTGAAATATTCCTAAGGCAACTAATAAAACATGACATATAGGACCTGTAGTAGAAACTGTCAACCATACCTACTATCATGCTCATGTGGCAATGTGCCCACCCTACAGAGTAATTATGGTAATCATCTTTCCTCTCTGCTAGCCTTCCTTGCTACTAGATTGGCTGTATAACCAATGAGATTTGAAGGGAAATTTGTTGAAAGCTTCTGGGCAAGATTTTCTTCACTTATGGAAGGAAATCCCTTTTTTTATCCATAATTTAAAGCTACTGAAGTTATTCTTCAGTATGAGATATACAGACAAAAAATTAAATTGCTCAGTCGCTACATCAACCATGGAACTTGTACTTCTAGATTTTTGTAGTGACGTAAGTTGCTTAAATGTCCACAGTTTAAGCCATTACTGTAGGATTTTCTATTGCTGTCTACCAAAAGTGTCATCCTAACTGATACAGTATTCAATAAACAGAACTAGTATATACTATTAATATATATATATATACTACTCCATACCATAATTGATTCAAGAACTATATTTTCAAGGAAATCACAAGCATTCTCACCACCTAGTCAAAAACAATAAAGTTAGTTTTATACTTACCAAATAAAGATATAACTAATTTTATACTGAAGAGAAATGCAACTCAAGGAAAGCTAACTTTTTTTTCCTTTTTAAATGTGTGCTGGTTCTGGGGTTGAACTCAGAGGCTAGGTACTGTCCCTGTGCTTTTTTGCTCAAGGCTAGTGCCCTACCACTTGAAACACAAACTCCACTTCTGGCTTTCTGGTGGTTGATTGGAGATAAGAATCGCATAGACTTTCTTTCCTGGGCTACCTTCAAACCTCAGAGCCTCCTAAGCAGCTAGGATTACAGGTATGAATCACCAGCTTAAAGTTAGCTTTCAAAATGTTAGTGGAAGCCGGGCGCTGGTGGCTCACGCCTGTAATCCTAGCTACTCAGGAGCTGAGATCTGAGGATCACAGTTCAAAGCCAGCCCGGGCAGGAAAAACCGTGAGACTCATATCTCCAATAAACCACCAGAAAACCGGAAGTGGCGCTGTAGCTCAAGTGGTAGAGCGCTCGCCTTGAGCTGAAGAGCTGAGGGACAGC